ACAACATGTCTACACAACATGTCCACAACAACATGTCTACACAACATGTCTTCACAATATGTCCACAACAACATGTCTACACAACATGTCCACACAACATGTCAGGACGACATATCTGGAGTTCATGTGTCTTCAGGGTTCAGTTGGTTGTAATATGTAACTTCACCACTAGGTGTCTTCAGGTGTCACATGCGTATGTTAAACCCCTCCCCCGGTCTGTCTGTCTCCAGGTGTTTGGTATGATGTCATAACGTTCGGCGCTCCGGCTCATCACCACCAGACCTTCAAACATGGCGGACTGAAAAAACTGCTCAGCAGACACACAAAGTACAGGGACAGGTAGCGTCTTCAGTGTCTTCTGTCCCTCCTCCTCCTCCATGGTTTCATATTGTTCTGTCGGTTAATCTCGGTCATCTCTCTGGATGATGACGTCGCTCTGCAGATTCAGCAGCTGTTCATATTATTTTCATTTATTTGAATATTTTACTGAAGCCGTCAGGTGCAATAATTCTCAGAAGACTTATGAAGTAAAAACATACTACATTTTACTTAAAGTACTTGAGTAAAAGTACTTGGGTACTCTTCAGGAGCGTGAAGCCTCGACTTCTCTCTCCAGCTCCGTGTCGTACTCTCAGGACGAGAGCTCCAGAGCCAGGGAGCTGCTGACCAGCGTGGCCCAGCTGCAGCCTCTCGTCTTCGGCTTCGCTGAGGAGCTGCTCGCCGTCTCTCTGGAGCTGAACGCCGCTCGTCTGCAGCAGGTGCTGGACGGCCTTCGTGGACAGGTGAAGAAACTCAGGGAACAGGAAGTGGGCGAGTTGTTGGCAAGTTTAACCTCATCTTCATCTCCGTTCAGACGGAGCAGTTTGTCCACGCTCTCAAAGACGAGCTGGTGAAAATCGCTCTGCTGGCGATTCACAACCAGGTCACGGCCAACTGCAGCAGCAGCCATGTCCACAGCAACGGGCTGCTCTGTGAAGACTCAGCCAATCAGGAGGGACCGTCTTCCTTTGGTCAACAGGTCGACGCGGCGTACGACGAGGAGGAGTGGGCAAGTTGTGTGTTTGTTAAACTTCATCTCACTTTAGTCAGATTGAACTTGTTGTGGTTGTTACATGTGTGTGTGTGTGTGTGTGTGTGTGTGTGTCTGTAGGACAGGACGTGGGCCAACGTCGCCATGAGCCTGAACTGCATCATCGCCATGGTCGACCGGCTGCTGGGGCGGGAGCAGCGCCCTCTGGAGGGGACGTCAGCAGAGCAGCAGGAGTCCCCGACAAACGCTCACAACAGCGGTGAGACGCTAACACATCATCAGCAGACGTTAACACTGAGCCACAGCGCCCCCTGCTGACACAGGCCGCTCCTGCGGATTTACAAACAACTTACGTTCAAATGTTCATGAAGTGATGAAGGTGTCTTCCTCCTCCAGCCTCCTCCTCCTCTACTGCGTCCTCCTGGCAGGAGCAGCTGCTCCCTCTCGTGGTCACTCTCAGGGACTGTGTGCGTGAGGCCGTGGCGAAGGCGCGAGCGGCCATGACCTTTGTTGTCCTGCAGGGTGCTGCGGCCCCGACTGTAAACCAGGGACCTCCACAGATCGTCCAGAGGCGCCACGCTGTCTTCAGCCAGGCGGTGAGAGCGGCGGGACGTTTTACCTTCCAGGATGAAAACACGGAGAAGATTAAAGTGTTATTAAAGATTCACGTATGAAGGTTCCTCCGACAGGAAGTTGTTAACATGTCTGATTGACAGGTGTCTCTCTCTCCCTCGCTCTCTCAGCTCGCTGCGCTCGTGTGCGGTTTCACACTGAAGCTGAACGTCGCTCTGGAACATCCAGACGTTCTGAAGCAGCTCCACTCTGTGGGAATCCTGGCTCAGTTTGAAAGTCTGCTCAGCACCTATGGTACACACACACACACACACACACACACACACACACACACACACACACACACTAACCTGCTGTACCTGTGTGTGTGTGCGTCAGGTGATGAGCTGGGGATGCTGGAGGATATGGAAGTGGGTGTGTCTGATCTGAGCCAAGTGGCGTTCACTGTCACTGAGGCTAACACAGAGCAACCTGACGACCTGCTACCAACACTCAGCGGGACATGGTGGGAGGACACACACACAGACACACACACACACACACACACACACACACACACACACACACACACACACACAGCTAACAGGGGGTGTGTCCTTCAACCAGGGGCAGTTTTGTCGTCGAGGTGCCGGTGACCCCAGAGATGTTCAGTTTGTTGCCTCAGGAACTAAAAGAGGGAAGTTTGATACGAGTTCATCCCGTTCTGTTTAACATCGGGATCAACCAGCAGCAGAGTCTGGCTGAGAGGTGACACACACACACACACAATTCCTGAAACAAAATGCTCTTTGATAAAAGTTTTGTTTAAGTGATTTGATTGTTTTTGTGTGTGTGTGTGTGTATCTGTGTGTGTGTGTGTGTGTGTGTGTCTGTGTGTGTGTGTGTGTGTGTGTGTGTGTATCTGTGTGTGTGTGTGTGTGTGTGTGTCTGTGTGTGTGTGTGTGTGTGTGTGTGTGTATCTGTGTGTGTCTGTGTGTGTGTGTCTGTGTGTGGTCAGGTTTGGTGACAGCTCGCTGCAGGACACAGTGAATCAGCAGAACTGTGAGCGTGTGAGACTTTACTGTGACACACTGAAGGAGCAGCTGCCCCACATGGGTACGACGGTCTGTTGTGTTCAGCTCCGCCCACACACGTAGTTATCACCATTCGTCAGGACTCATGGTCATGCCCCCCCCACACAATCGACTCAACTATGAACCCTTTAAAAGCAGGTCCTCTGTCTGTGGGTCTGTGACGGTCCAGCAGCCGAACCCAGTACCACGTCTGTGGTGTTGGTCCCTGGAGGACGAATCTCTTGAGGATTGTTTATTTCCTCGGGGGAGAATCACAGAGTCCTACTGACCTTCGGTCCTTACTCACTAAGGAGAAGTCACAGATTTGTGTCTTTGGGGATTGGACTCTGACTCACAAACACATTTGCTCTGTACTCCAGTGTACTGCCGGTTTTCTCCTGATCGGTTTATTAACCTTTTCATTAATAATCATATTTTGTCAGACTGGACTCCTGTGACTGTCAGATGTCTCTCTCTCTCTCTCTCTCTCTCTCTCAGCTGGTGTAGAGTCTCTGTCCGACTTGTTGTCGTCTCTGGACCGAAGCATCGACACCAGGAAGAGGAAGAACGTGGAGGTTCTGTGGATCGCTGCTACGGTGAGAATCCGGCAGGACAAATCTGAAACATTAATTAAGATGGACGACAAGACGGCTGCTAAAAGAGAAGCCAAAGGATCTGCATTGCCCCCTGGTGGCTGGCTGCAGTACAGGATGTGGAGACGAGTCCACCATCTTTATTAATAATCGTGTGTGTCTGTGCAGGTGTGTCGTACGGTGAACGGCGTTCGTCTGACGAGTTGTAAAAGCGCCAAAGACCGCACGGCGATGTCAGTGACTCTGGAACAATGTGTGTTACTGAGACAGCGACACACACTCAGTCAGCAACACTTCAACACTGCACTGGACTGCATGAGGAGGTGTGTGTGTGTGTGTGTGTGTGTGTGTGTTTTCACAACATCCTCCACCTCCTCGTCTCCTTCCCTTTCTCCAGTTCTTTTTCCTTTGTCTTTCCTTCTCTTCTTCTCTTGTTCAGTTTCCTTTCTCTTCTGTAAGTTGTAAAACTTGTTCAGATTTAGTTTCAGTAAACTCTTTTTTCTTTTTTACTTCCTCTCTTTCTCTCTTTCCTTCACACATGCACTCGCTCCCTGCTCGTCCTCCAGGTCTCGTCTGTCCTGGGGACAGATGCTCGGCTGTTATGCCCAGTCAGGGTTCACCGTCTCTGGCTCAGATCCAGGGGAGCGTCCCTCTGGTCAGGGGGGCCCCTGGCCCCCGCTCAGTTTGGCCCCCGAGGCCCCGAGACGTCACATGTACCCGGTGGCATTTCTCCTGGTCAGCTCTCATCTCCTCGTCTTGTGGCTCATCCTCAGTCTCGTTCTACTGTTGTCCAGAGACTGTCAATAAGGTTGGCCGCCCCCTGGTGTCTGGCTGCAGTATAGGTCATAAATGCTCCATGTTAGCAGATGGGACATGGACCAGACCAAAAAAAATCCAAGGAGACGTTAAATGAAAGTTTGTCAAAGATGTTCCTGTCTGTGTGTGTGTGTGTGTGTGTGTAGGGACGGCTGCAGGATGGAGAACGTGCTGAAGAACGTCGGCAGCAGGAAGTTCGCCTTCAGCAGCGTTCAGCTCCTCACTTTCCCCAAACTGTACCGACCTCCTGATGGCAGCTACAGCTCCGCCCCCTGACACATCCACCTCCTGTACAAGGCTTTTACTGTGTAAAGTCAGTTCTGTGTTTTTATGAACGTACATTTTATTTGAATGAGCCAAAAGCAGTGTGTCATGTTCATTTAATAAACATGAAAGTGTCATATTTTATTTAAATGTTTAAACTTTATCTGTGGACAAACCTTGATTTAATCCACGTAAAAGCTGCAAACGCATTAAATAAATCTAGTCAGAGACGTTATCGAGCAAAGTGAGAGATTTAAAACAAGGTTTATAAAATATGATGCGTTGTTCACATTAAGTATTTTCAGAGTCATTGATTCATCAGAAATGGTTCGGGCCAAGAAAAATGAAAATGTATTCCTTGAATTTTCTTTCTTTCTTGATATATTTGAGACAAATGATGATATAATAGAAGAATTTCAGAAATGATGAATATTTTCTGTATATTTCTTTAGTGTCATTATATTGTGTTAGTAATTTTAATTTAATGTCATCGTCATTCAATAATTCTTTCATGAATAAACTGTTTGAAGAGCAGCGTGTTTATGTTGATTTACAGCAGCGGTGGTTCTGCCGGGCCGCTGGGGGGCGCTGCTCCAGACCATCACACTCAAAGCTGCGTCACGCTGAATAACGGAAATGAAAGGTTTTGCCCTTCACAATAAAAGATGGTCATTCACCTTATAAATGATTCGTGATCTGAGCTTTAATTATAAGCTCAAACATTTTTATTTGATCAACTTTTCTGATTGAATAAAAAACTTAATCAGCTCAATGAGTTTCATTCAAATTACTTGAAAAATGTTCTAAAATCAAGACAAAGACGGTTTGATAATAAACACAACAAATTGATTTTCTTAACTGACACTTATTTTTAATAAAAGCCTCATTAAATCCGTAGTTTCCTGATTTCTCAGCTCTGTTTCTTTGTGCCGCTCCATCTCTCTCTTTTTCTTTACTTCAATGAATAAATCATAAAAAGGTCCAAACTCAAATCTCTGGAACGACGTCTCAGGAGAAACAGTTTTAAAATGAAGCCGCTCACCTCAACCGCCTGAGAGCCGCCATCTTGAAAACCATCCAACAGGTCAGCACAGTCACTCAGTGAGGTGGGCGGGGCCAAGAACCAGGAAGTGTCTGGTGTGTGCGTGTAATTTTTATGACTCTATCTTGTTATCACGCTTCTTGACATGAACAGTTTTCTGATCCTGCACTTTAATGTTTGATAGAAATTATAATTACTCTTATTAACCTTAGTGAAGTTTCTGTGTCAGCAAATGGTCAGTAACAGGTTTTATTGTGAAGAGGCTCCTCCGGATGTCGGGTCCTGGTTCTCGGGCCCAGTCAAAACAAAGCGGCTCCGGTTCGTCGCCTCCGTTAAACCGTGAATATTCCGCACGATCACCGGAGGAGAAATCACCGCCCGCTGCTTCTCGTCCGCCGGCTGAGGTCGCCTGGTCCTCGGGGCTCCGCGGAGGATCTGCCGGGCTGCTGGGCTTCGGTCTCGGTGGCGGATGGAGGCGGAAAACACCGAGAAACCCGACGAATAAAAACACCGAAGAACCGGAGGAGCTCAGGTTCGGATCCCCGGGCCCGGTGGTTAACATGGTGGAGTAGGAGGCTGCTCCGACCCATCGACCCGCGGACGGCTGTGAGTGAGCCGGGAGCAGCAGCATGGCCCCGGGCTCCCTGGTGGCGGCCTGCCGCAGCCTGGCCCTCTCCACCTGGCTGCTCTCCTTCTGCTTCGTGCACCTCCTGTGTCTGGACTTCACCGTGGCCGAGCGGGAGGAGTGGTACACCGCCTTCGTCAACATCACCTACGTGGACCCGGCCACCTCCGAGCTCCGCACCGACAAGACGGAGTGCGGCCGCTACGGGGAGCACTCCCCGAAGAGGGACGCCAAGGGGGCGGTGGTCCTGCCCGCAGCCCCGCACGACCGCCAGGCCTGCGACCCCAACACCCGCTTCACCGGGCCCGCGCAGCCCGGGGCCTGGATCGCGCTCATCGCCCGAGGGAACTGCACCTACAAGGACAAGATCCGACACGCAGCCGCGCACAACGCGTCCGCCGTGGTCATCTTCAACGTGGGCTCCGCCAACGCGAACGACACCATCACCATGCCGCATCCAGGTAGATACACCTGATCCAGATCCACACCTGATCCAGATCCACACACACCTGATCCTGATCCACACA